ACCTGCCAGGCAGATGAGCGTCCCCACGGCCCCTCCGCTCTGAGGCCCTGGATTGCGGTCACTGCCTTTTAGAGCGGGTCTTGCTGTTCGCGGGCTCTCCTCCAGGTGGTGCAAGTGGACCAGGCATGGGGAGTGTCCTTGGTGCAGGCCTCCCCAGGCCTTTCCTGGGGCCTTTCCCAAACGATGGTGACCCCGGGACATATCTGGCCACGGCGGCCAGTGGTGGGGAGTTGTCTCCTACCGCAGGCTAGCCTGGTCGGGGCCCCGCACCTGCTGTACCCCATCCGGTCTGACCTGCGGTTGGCCTCTTTAAAGGTTTCAGCCCACTGTTCCCGTTCAGACCGCCAGGCCAGGAGCTGTCCTCACCCCACTGAGACGGAGTGGACACCGTACCCAGTTCCCAGGCGGGCAGCTGCCAGCGGGCTCTGAGCCCCCTCCTTCCCAGGGCCAGCTGCAAGCAGAGTGGGGAGAGCCCTCTGCGCACGTGGGGCCCTCCTCGCGACGTGGGGACTCTGGGGTCAGAGGCGTGTCGTCCTTCACCGCCCACCACAGCCCACACTCAGGCGGAGGCTGCTCGAGGCCTCCTCTGCTCGCCTCTTCTGTTAAGGTCCCTCTGGGAGGGGTGTCCCTCAGGGACACGTGGAGGAGTTTCCCTGGGAGACTGGCCAGGGTGTGGGAGGGACGTGTGAGGGCAGGTGGGAGCCCCTTGGGCGAGGCACTGTGGCCGGGCCACCTGGGCGCTGGGTACTGTGTTCACCCTGTCCCAGTGGGGTGAGGACAGCTCCTCTGCCTGGGGGCTTGGCCTTTGGGGCTCTGGCCCCAGGGGTCTGTGCATTTAGCTTACTCCCAGGTGACCGGGTGCCAGGTACACTGTGGGGGCCACCAGGGAGGGGGAGGAGTCCTGCAGCCCATGAGGCTCCTTTGTCACCCTTCTGTGGGCCATGGGGGTGTCCTTTGCTGTTCGTGCATCTCAGGCTTCTGGATGGGGGGGCCTGGAAACAAGAGGGGGTCCACCCACCTGCACTACCAAGCCCCACTGCAGCCATGTTGTCCCCTCGTGAGGGTCCCTCGTTACACAGTGGTTTCCTTGTTTATTTACTTCCTTTAATTTGGGTAGTGGTCCGAGCCCAGAGCCTGCGGCCTCTGTCTGGGTGCCTCCCCACCCCCCGCCTCCCGCCTGCCCCTCACTTCTCCAGAATGAGTCGCCCGCACTTTCTCCTGGGCCCCTCTTGAAATTTCTGTCCAGTCTGTGGACCAGGCAGGCTGGGTGACGCCCCCAGGAGACCCGACTTGCACCAAGAGGAGTTTTGTGGAAAGCCCTTTTTCTTCATTTTGTTCGGGACCGGCTCCCTCTGCCCCCGCCTCTCTCCACCCCACGAGGTTTCATAGGAGTCCCGGGGCAGGCCGGTCTGGGTGTGGGTCTGTGTTCTCTCTCAGCAGCTGACGGTGTGTAGGGGCGAGGTGTGGTCTGAGTTTAAAGACAGAAAGAGGGTCTCCTGCGTCTAAGGGTCTGGCCGATCCAGGCCCCGAACACCTCTCGCTCACCGTGTCGGATTCAAGAAAGTCATTTCTCCGGTCGGGGACTCCGTTGTGACAGCTGTAAAATGGCATAGTTGGGCGGGGGGTTCTCTCGGGCGGTGCTGACCCTACGGCCTCCTGGCCCGCAGCCCAGCCTCTGACCCCACCTCCTCCCCCTGTATCTTCACCCGCATTCCGGACGTGTGCCAAAGAAGCTGATGGGCGCACCTTACGAAGCCTTGCGTAACCCCACCATCAGGCCGCACAGAACAGCAGAGCCTGCTCCTTCCCTCCTGCTCCCACCACCGCGTCCCTGAGGAATCCCGCCCGTTTCCCTGGATGTGCTCGCTTCCATTTTTGTGTTACCTCCGTGCTTGACAGGCTTATGTTAAACTTTATATTTTAAGTTTCACCTAACACCTGTCGACTTTGCGTCTTGCAGAGAGGGCTTAGCGCTCAGACCACGTCCTCCCCGGCCCCGGCCCGCCTCGGTCATACCACCTGTGCTTTCTTTGGAACAATAATGTGGGGCATGTCTGTAAATACCGTCCAGAGCTGAGTCGTGAGTTCCCGTAATTGTACATCCTCTCCCGAGGAGCTGATCCTCTGGACACAATGGCCTTTCCTGTCTGCCTGGTTCCCGGAAGGTGCTCGTCACCGGCTGGGCTGTGCTGTTGTCTCTTCTGGTTCCTCGAAACAACCGAAGAGCTGGTTCCTCGTTGTTCCACGTCTTCCTGGACACGGCCCTCCCGCCCCCGTTCTGCCCACCGATCCAGGCTGGCGTCCCTCCCTGTTCCTGCTTCCCCCCCCCGACTTGATTTTCCTCCTGGTCTGCTGGCGCGTCCTCCTGGGCACAGGCTGTTCAGGGCCCGTGTCCTCACCCAGGCCCAGTAGGCTCCTCGGTGGGCGGTCGGCCTGCTGGGCCGTTGAGGGAATGTGGCTTCTGGTGGCGTGCCCGTCGTATCCCAGTGGCTGAGCCTTGGGAAAGTGCTTCCCTGTGTCGCGGGGACGAGGAGCCTCCTTTCTGCCTGAGACGCCCTCTTCCCAAGTGGCCTCGGCCTTCGGACTTGTGCGTCGGCTTCGCACTGGCCGATTTTAACAAGGACCCTTCTGAGTCAGTTTAGTGAGAGCCTCGCCCTGGATGTCGGATCGGGTCCCCATCCCCCAGGGGGTGTCTGGTCCCCCCGGCCCGCTTCAGCAAGAATCCTGACCCCGTGCCTCCTTAGTAATTTCCAGCCCACTGACCCCCTGCTCTGTGGCTGCAAATCCCCTCTTTGTCACGCCGTGTCCTGAGCTGAGCCTGGGTGAACAGGGACGTCCCCGTGCCCACAGTCTGCTCTCACTGCCAAGCCTGCGCTGGGCTTTCTCTGACGCACCCGCACGTTCTGGTTCCAGTGATGCTGCCTGGCTTTTGAAGGGCGGCAGATTGTGTCACCCCGAGATGGGCCTCTTTGGCGTGAGGATTGTTTCGAGCTGGTTGTTTTGAGAGTCAGCAGACACAGGAGATACTCTGGAGTGGAGTGGAACCTACCCGTTTGCCGGGGACGTTCGCGCTGAGAAGCGGAACCCCCACGTGCAAGGGTGTGCCCCGTCCTGGACCAAGAGGAGTCCGGGCCACAGAGACGGGCCCAGACCTGAATCTGTGTGACAACCGCACACTCACTCTTTCTGGTCACCTTTTTCCTTCTGTCTTTGCTCAGGAAACTCCAAAAGACCTGGGGGTTCTGTGTTGGGGCCCAAGAAAAACGACCAAAAGTGTATTTCCTGTTATGCCACAGGCGCCCCGGGAGCCCCACCTACCAGGCAGCTTACGCACGGGCTCTTAGAGCAGGTGCGGCTCCTGGTGGGGTCCCCTGCTGGCCTGCAGGTGGCTGTCTCCTGCCTGTCCCCACGTGGCCTGTCCTCTGCTTGTGCGGGGATGAAGACTCCCCTCCTCTTACGAGGAGGCCAGTCCTAGCAGATTGGGGCCCCAGCTCTTGACCTCACTCAACCGTATTGCCCCCTTAAAGGTCCATCTCCAAATGCACTTACAGTGGGGGTCAGGTCTCCACCCAGGAACTTGGGAGCAGGGTCTTTCCTACCTCTGTCCCTTCCCCATCTGTCCCTGTCTGGAGTTTGTGCCTTACGCACGGGTCGGTCACCTCTGGTGATGTCCCTGGGTCACCAGCGGGTCCTGCAGAAGCCGCCTGGCCAACTGTACTGGACCAATGGTGGTTGGACGGGG